TCCTGCCTTAGCACTTGTCCACCAGCAGCCCCGCTGCCCTTTTACCATCCCCTTTCCCCCTCTTCCTGGCAATCTCCCATCCTATCACTGAGGATACTTTGGTTGCAAAGCTGAGTCTCCTCACACGGAGAGGGAGTAGATCTCCTTCTGACCTATGCACCTTGACCTCCTGCACCCTCCATGAGCAGCCTGGCCAAGGGGAGAGAGCACAGCAGCAGCAGCCTTGAGCATGAGGTAAACACACCCAGGCACCCCCTCAGGGAAGCACCAAATTGTCCTGATGTCGAGTTAGCAGGTGCAACCTAGTCACGGCCATTTGGCTACTGGCCCTTTGAGGGCAACCATAATGCTGATGCAGCCTCAATGAAATTGAGCTTGACACTCCTGTACGACCAGAAGAAAGGAGAGACAACCAGGAGAAAATTCTAGAAGAGAGAATAAAACAATATCTGGAAAAAGCTGAATTACCTAAAGTACCTGAAACAGTGAAAATCATGTTAAATAAATGAATATCAATGATGGAATTAACAGTAGCAATAAAGAGCCAAAAGAATAATAAAACACCAAGACCTGATGGGCTACTGGCAGAACTTTATAAATTTTTACAAGATACTTTAGGCCCACCAATGTTGGAAGTATGTATAACAAAGTATTGTTAGAAGCAAAGGTATAAAATTCATGGATGGAAGCAAATATTACACAAATTCCAAAAGAAGATTCAGATTTAATGCAGATAAAAAACTATAGACTATAGATTATATCTTTATTGAATGCTGATTATAAAATATTTGCTTCCATAATATTGGAGAGACTAAAAAGATTTTTGAATGAATTTATACATTCAGACCAGAATGGATTTTTTTACTTAAGAGACAGATTAAAAATAATATGAGAATGATCTTAAACTCACTGGAGTACTATGAAGCACATCATGGAAAACAAATGACGTTAATTTTCTTAGATGCGCAGAAAGCATTTCATAACGTAAATTGGTAATTTATGTTGTTACAACTAAAATTTATGAACTTTGGTGAGAGATTCATCAATATGGTTAAGACAATATATCATAAACAAACAGTACAGGTCATGGTAAATTGAGATAAAACAGAGAACTTTAATATATAAAAAAAGGCACAAGACAAGGATGTCCACTATCCCCTCTACTATTCATATTGACACTGGAATTGTTAAATAAAAATATTAAACAAGACAAAGAAATTAAAGATATGGAAATAAACAAGGAAAAATATAAGCTACAGGAGTTCGTAGATTATTTGGTTTTCATTCTGGAAGATCCACAAGAAACTGGACCCAAATTAATAAAAAAAATAGAATATGGCAAGTTGTATGATTGAAAATTAAAAAAATAAAATTTTAGTTAAAATTTACAGATACACAGAAAAAAGAATTAATGAAAAGGATAGATATTTAGATAGTCAAGAAAATTAAATACCTATGGTAGGAATCCAACTAATAGCAAGATGTGCAACCATTAAAGAAGATAATTACTATAAACTGACTCAACAAATTAAAGCAGACTTGATATTGTCTTTGACAGGAATAATAGCTACTATAAAAAGGAATATTTTACCGAGACTATTATATCTATTTCAAACAATATCAATAAAGCTGGCAAAATATTTTGAAAAATTAAATATAACAATATTAAGATTTATTTGGCAAGAGTTAAAAAGCAAAAAAAAAAGTTTGAAAATGTTGCAAGATGCTAAAAACAGAGCGGGCTTTTGGCTGCCAGATTGGGAGTTGTATTACCAGGCCTCGGTACTTACATGGGTGAAAGAATAGATTGATCTGAGACACAAAAGACTATTGACTTTGGAAGGACATCTATTACTCCAATTGGGCTGGCATGCCTTTTTATGGGGTGCAAAAAATAAGTTATATAGTTATTTCCAAAGGCATTACATTAGAAGTACTGTACATTATTATCAGTATGGGAAAAAATAAAGAACAACACTACTTTGTCTGGCTCTCCACAATGGAGGCACTGATTCACCCAAATGTAATTAATATGGAAAATATTACCAGATATGAAGATATTTTGAATGAAAAGGGCAAACATAAAACTAAGCAAGAACTGAGTAGCCCAGGGATTGACATAGCATCATGGCCACAAGTGCAGATACAATCTTGATATGAGAAGGATGCTAAAATGTATGGTTTTTATAAAGAATTAATAGAATTATATCAAATACTAACAGGGACAGATGAAAAGCTAATAAAGAAAATATATAGCTATTAAGTATCAAGATGGAAGGTGAGCAAGTCAAGGAGACAATGATAATATTTGCTAAAATGTTTGGTTATACAATAGAATTAGATAAGTGGCAGAAACTGTGGGATAGAAATTATAAATTAACGATATCAACTGCATATAAAGAAAATATTTATAAAATGTTTTATAGATGGCATTTTCTACCCTCAAGGTTGGCAAACATGTTTAACGATATGTCTGCTAAATTTTGGAAATGCCATCAGATACCTGGTTCATATCACATGTGGTAGACATGCCCAAAAGCAAAAACATATTGGACAAAAATACATACATGATTGGAAAAATTGATAAAGCAACATCTTGATTTAAAACCAGAAATGTTTTTGTTGGGCATGTTACCAAACAAGTATAACAAAGGGAATACATATTTGATTTTACATGTATTGACTGCAGCCAGAATTGTATTTGCACAATAATGGAAAAGTGAAGAGATCCCTACAGATGAAAATGTGATTTAAAATATCAGAATATGCAGAAATGGATAGATTAATACTTACAATTAAGGAAAAGGAAGAAACTGAATACATTTTGACGGGACTTATTTTATCAATAGTTAGCTGATAAAAGCAGAAGTTAGAAACATGGAACTATAAGAAAAGGAAGAATGAAAAAAGGGAGGCTTGTTAAAATGGACAAGCAAACATCAACATCATTATTATGATCATTATGATAGAATGATTATCAGTGTAATGAATATCATTGTAAACACTGATGGTTATTTCCTAAAACTATTTAACTCAGGCAAAACACTGTTTCACCAATAATGGAATTTTTATGTGTTATAAAATAAAAAAAACTTTATGCAAAAAAAGGAAGAAATTGAGCTTAACACCACTGTTCTATGGAATTCGAAAGGCTCAGGCAGTGATTCTTAGAATGAAAATAACAGCACTTTGGCTGCCACTGTTTTCATTCCTGAAGCTTTGGGTAGTTACGACTTAGGCCAGCTCTGTTGCTTTTCCCAGGATGCCACACTGATAATGCTGATGAGATCTGGATCCCACCAGTTGTGCAAAAGATTCTGTTGCAAATCCCTCAAGATCCCACCTTGGATCATGAATACATCGGAGAACTGGGCATCGTGGAGTTCACCAAAACAGCCATGGAACTGGTGATTGGCAAGAACAATCAGGCTTTCTTAGACAACAGGGTATGGGGATATTTATACAAGTATGACCATATGCCTAAGAGACGTAGATATGAAAGGAACAAATAGTTATTTTTCCTTATTAGTTACATTCAAAAGCTTGTATGGAGTCTCTGTTGGAAATGGTGCTGTAGCATCTTTTTCTTTTCAATTATGACAGCTTATTTTGTTGCCATGGCATGGGAGGAATAAATCTTTAAGGCCAATAGCAGCTTGGGAATAATCATGAAAAAATTAAACAGCTCTCTGTCCTGCACTGTTGGTCTTGTCAAAGAAAACTATGATTTGGCCCAAACGTGAGGACCCTTCCTCCAGTGAAAGGAAGAAGAGATGTTTCAATCTTGCAGAGGACCTATAAGCTGACAAGCAGTCATCAACACTAATCCAATGCCTGTCGGTCCAGAATCAATTTTTAGGTTGCCTATTGAAATAGGGTAGCTAAATTCATCTTTTGCCTTTCATACTTTCTGCCTGCATTTTGGTTCTAAGCAGTGATTTATTTAACCATGACTTATTAAAGAAACCATAATTAGTTGAGTTTGCATAATATGCTTTCTGGGGAATTTCAGGACATAAAATCCATACATTTTAAAATTGTTGAAGTTGAGAAACACTGGCTATGAAAATTAATCTTTTGAAATGTTGAGCTAACAATTCTACATGATCAGTTAATAAAAACATTTCTTGCTTTTTTCTAAACAGGCAGGTGGTGTTCACACAATAGGTGGGACAGGTGCTGTGTGGATCGGAGCTGAATTTTTGCACCGTTGGTACCGAACCAACCATTCAACTCCAGCAATTATCTATATTGCCGAGCCACAACTGGGTAGCTAATATATTGTTTTGTCCTTATGTTTTGGCCTAGTCCTACAATTAAATCTTAAAGCCATTAGAAATATTTCTGGGAAGGAAAATCAGGCAGGACAAGAACAAATCAAGAGGTTGAGAGGTTATGTGGTTACCTTCATGTCCCATCTAGGGCTCAGAATATAGCAGAAACAACTTTAAGCATCTGATTAATGATGTATCTGTGTAGATCTACATATGAATGAGACTTGGGTTTATCAGGAGGGCTCAAAGTAACAATAAAATCTTCCTGTAGTGAATGTAGCAATTAAATTATGCATGCACTGGTTTAGTGTGTTAGAACATTGGGAGATCGAGAACACACCTGTCACCTGTCCCCAGCCTGGGAAACCAAACCAAGCCATTTCCAATTTCATGAACAGCAACAATAACAAAGCTACTATCCACCCTTGATTCATTTAGCGAAATGTTTTCATGTTTCCTATGAAGTAGATCTCAATAGACTTAAATTGAGCTACCTGATAACTTTTAATTAAATATTGGATTTTAGACCTTCTGAAGATAAATCATACACTCAATCACTGAGTTATGAGTCACATCTCATAATTTATTATGAATGCATTGTTCTGTCCAAATTAAAAATAATGTGACACAAAATGGTCTAAAAGGTGTCCCTATTTTTTTCAGGCACTCTTGGTTGCATATTCCAAGTTGCTGGCTTTGCAGATATTTGTTCTTACCGTTACTGGGATCCCATCAAGCTGTCAGTTGACATAGACATGTTTGTGGCAGAACTGCAGGTACCAGAAAGCAACAATTTCTATCCTTGCTTACAGCAACATTCCTATAGCCCTCTGGTGTAGTGGGTAGAGCATTGGGCTAAAAGAAAATGTGTCATATAAAAAGAATCATACCTTAAGTTGCAGTTAAGAAGATATATTGCTCACAAGAATCTAGTCATTTAGCACTAAATTGGCAGTAGATGGAGTCAACTGAAGACAGGTTGGATTTAGACTATTTGTGGGAACATAATGACTCTAGGCCTGTGATGGCGAACCTATAGCACATGTGCCAGAAGTGACACAAAGAGCCCTCTCTGTGGGCACATGCGCTGTTTCCAGCTGCTTTTCTGGTTTCCAGCACATGCATGCATGCTTGCCAGCTGGCCTTTGCAGGTGCCAGAGCACTGGAAACTCAAAGATCAGCTGGCAAGTGTGCATGCGTGCACTGGCCAGCTGATCTTTGAGTTTCTGGTGCTTTGGTGCAAGCATGCGCACTGCCAGCTGGTCCAGTTTCCCGTGCTCTGGCACGCATGTTCCAGTTTGGGCACTTGGTGTAGAAAAAATTTGCCATCACTGCTCTAGGCTGATGGCCTGCTTAATTCAGCCCCTAGGCTCTGACTGCTCTTTTCCTACAAATGTAGGACAATCAGTTGCAGATCCTTGTATACCTCTGAAACTGAATGGCTATCTATCAGATCCCTCTCACTTCAGCCACATTAGGTTTAGATGTTACTTCCTCTATGAAAAAATAACGCACGCTACTGATTAATTGATTATTAATCCTCTACAAAAAAAGAGAAAACAATGACTTTCAGAGCATAGTTGTGGTTCTAAGAATGTGGGAATTTGACCTATATCACATTAAATTATTATGTCAATTTTGCCACTTCAGCTAATAAGAGCTAAAAAAGATTAACAAATTCTCCATTACATACTATCTTCCAACACTTTAACAGGATATGCATGAATATGAACTTAGGAGACTTTTCAGGAGAAAAAATGAATATGTCCCCTATCATGGATCTATAATTTCGCCCCATGCTCTTATGCATCATGGAGGCAAATACTTGTGTATACTGTTTCTAGCATCTTAGAATCAACTGTACTGTTTCCAAAACTGCTAGTAATTATGCTAAACAAACCATTGGTAGATCTCTCTCTTTTTGCCTCCACTTGTGTCTTTTAAGCCTTCAGCTCTACTCCCAAAGTCCTTGCCCACCAAAAGTGATAGCTTTTGCATTGAATATTCTTGCAGAATGCCCCAGAAGGCTCCATTATATTTCTGCATGCTCCTGAAGAAATTGGCTTGAAGCCCTCTGAATGGAGAAGAGTTGCATCAATGATGAAGGCAAGTGAGGACATCAGGAGAAGTGTGACCAGACAGGTCACAATATGTAGAGAGACCCTCTATATGATATCTTGCAAAAGTGATGCATCTGTCTGTTGACACCATGCCTGTGTGGCATTAGAATCCTGTTCTTGACCCACAGTGAGTTAGCTTAGGCTGAACTGCAAGACCTGTGAAGTTTAAGAACACTTTCAATTTAATTCATCTTACACATTCTGAAACTAAAAGGTTTGTGGCATGGCAACAGTGATGATTATTTTCCATGGCTGGCATTCAAATTATAATTGAATGATTTCTATAGAAAATATGAATACACTGAACCTGAATCAAAACAATAGATACTACAGTCATCCACTTATGACCACAATGGAGCCTGCCCATTAGGATCATAAGTCATGTAAAATAATGAACACAGAAGTCATAAAGAGAACTCTGTGGCCATTAAGTAATCATCATATGCATTAAGTTAACCCATAGTTTGCTATGGGGCAATAATTTGCCAAAAGCCAGAAGGAAAGATTAGTTTTCAGCACAAATATTATAAATCATGATTACATGACCACAGGGTGCTGTAAATGGCCATAAATACAGGCTAATTACTGAGTGCCCAAAATGCAGTCCACCTGGGTGGGTAGCAATCAGAACTTCAGAATTGGGTCATTAATTTTTGGGCAGTTCATCATAATTTCGAATGATCTCTAAGCAATGGCTCATAAGTTGAAGACTACCTGTATGCAAAACATATTTCTCTCATTTCCGATGATTGAGATATCATAGAACAAAGTGACTGGGTTTATTTTCCTTTGAATGGAGTCAGAGAGAACAGTTAAGTTGCCTCTGTGTCAAATCTCGGACATTATTCATGCATTGTTTTTAGACAATGCACATACAAAATTATTAGCCTGCAAGACTTGATATACAGTACATAACTGGAGACTATCAAAGTGAATGTTAGATGTACCTTTTTTCCTTTGTCAGCCCACATCATTTCTGTACTTGATATAAACCCAAGGCTATAATATCTGCTGTCTTGCTTGCAGAAGTTCCACAGTCTCAGTGAAGAGGAATTTCTAAGCCAACATAAGGCAGCATTGAGGCCAAATTGTATTATTACATTTATTCTCCATAACAAATGAACTATATAGGATGACATCTGCTGTCTTTCCCTTCTTCTTTTCCATTGTTTTCCCAGAGAAGACATCTTTTTCCCTTTTTTGATGTCGCAGCTCAAGGATTGGCTTCGGGAGACCTGGACAGAGATGCCTGGGCAGTACGTCTCTTTGTAAACAAAGGCTTTGAGCTGTTCTGTGCTCAGTCTTTTTCTAAAACCTTTGGCTTATATGGTAAGTCTTTGCATTCTCAACCATCTTTGTCACACGTCTGGGAACTGGGACCAAGTAAACTTCATTTATGAATCCCTGCACAAATTGGGTACATGTACCTTAAAACCTGGTTTTGCAGTTGGCTTTGGGGCAATATGTAAATAATGCTTCTACATTGTAAACCACACAGAGAATGTGATAAAGAACTTTGAGGTGGTATATAAGCCTAAATGCTATTGCTATAGCACATGCACCAACTATCTTTTCTTGACTACATGACTACTGTTTCTTTTCATTAGAAGACTCCTAATTTTGGTTCTAGAAATGGTATATACCCATAAAACAGCCAGTCATAATTTGTGTACTCTTGTTTGAAGTAGTAACCATCTGCAAATCCATCATTATGTACCTTGGTGCATTGGTATTTGCAACCGGGATAAGAAGATTGTTTTCTCAGTGGCTAACATGTTTACCAGGCAAACATTTGGATTGCATTTCCTAATTTTCATCAAAATTACCTGCAAACCCATTTCTGTATTTGCTGTCGATTGTCTACACCATTTTCTGCATGATTAAATATATTTGTCATTATCATCCACTGTAATCAATACTTGTACAATCTCAAAGGTTCACTTTCACAGATACTGATAGACCTCAAAATTACTACCTAACTAAAATAGGTCTCCAAAATTTCAAGAAGAGTCCAGAATTTAAGTTTTTATCATCTGCTCTCTTCATTTAAAGAAATATAAAGATTGAATTTGAGGGCATGAAGATTGAAACCAGAGGTCTGCTGACAAGATATGATCTTTTCTGTCAAAATAGCAATGGAAATAATTGAACACCAATACATAATTAATCTAAGTGTAGATGCATTCTAGTTCTTAAAATACATGGTCTCTGAAAAGATACCAAACTGTATGTATGTCCAAACACTAGAGGTCTCTGAATACAAGAAAAAAGAAATTATGTTCTTGAATTTTCAGGACTGAAATGTTAACCTTAGAGTTTATCTATTCCTTTTTTGACAATAATCCCAGACTTCCCTTTACTACATTGATCATGGCTCAGTGTCTAGATTATTTATGGTTTAGAAAGTTTTATCCAAAGATATAAACAAGACAAAGACTGTGAGCTATGGATGCCATTCTAATGTGTCATAAATTGGGCTCTGCAAAATTGCTTTGTTACTTAATAGATTTGGAAAGCTTGTGGGTATGTCACAAACTCGTGTCGATGGGCCAGTTCTTAGACAAGAAATTATTCATTTTTTAAAATAGGACCTGCGCATCACTCTTAGTACTTCTCACATCAGTCTGGGTATAGTGTGACTTGAGCATATCCAAAGCATTGTTTCCATTTGAACTGATGTCTTTTTGGACATTGCCCAATCCTCACATCACTATATCAATTTTCCCCTCAGTGGGCAGCATAGCAAATGAAAAGGGCTGAACAATAATAAAGCCTTCATTATTCCCATTAAACAATTTTATCTTTCAAGCTATTTGGCTCAATTTCTCAATGTGACAGGAAAACAGAGGAGTTGTCCATCATAAAAAGAATGAGTCCTAAGCAAAGAGGCTGAATTAGGAAGGGAGCTGTACAGCAAAAGAATCCAACAAAGACTTAGATATAAAGAGAGATAGCCCCAGCAAAGCCAGGCAGCAATTAGATAATTCGAAGCTGTTTTTGTTGTCACATCATTTCCTAGAGATCAGGAAATCCCTGATTTGGAGCACATATTCTTGCTCCTGTCTCTTAAACGGGTTCTACTTCTATTGTGTTAAGGATAAAAATGCATGCCTATCAAAAAGCATTGCAGGAAAGGAGGAACATAGAGCATAGAATAATAGAGTTGGAAGGGACCTTAGAGGTCTTCTAGTCCAACTCCCTGCTTGAGCAGGAAGACCCTATACCATTTCATTCAAATGGTTGTCCAGTCTCTTTTTGAAAGCCCACAACCTCTGGAGACGGCCTTACAACTAGAAGTTCACCTGTCATCTCTAGTACCAGTAGGTCTCATGAAATCACAATCACCTTTCTAGATATTGATTTGTCCTGCCAATGTCTGATGGATTGAATGCCAGATAGGCTAGACCACTTTCAGGCTTGAAATTAGACAGATCCTAGACCAATTCAAAAATCTTCCTTGAACATCAGTTCACATCTCTGGCAAGAGTAATCCAATTCTGCTTCTCCTGGCATTTGTGAGGTGCGGAAGAAAGAAGAGAAAACAGTCCACTCATATTTCCTTCTGATTTGGATTCTGTTTCTGATTGGGACAATAGGAAAAGTAGACTCCTCTCCAAGACCTCATCCCTAAAATAAAGTTCTCTTCTTTTAAGTAATTGGTGAAGTCTACAGAGAGTGAATCAGAATAAGTTTCTGTATTTGATGGAATGACAAGAAACCTAATATTAAGAGGTTTGGGGGGGAGGAAGGAATATTTAGAAACAGCAAAGAAATACTGACTCAACTACAATACACTAAGTACTGCAGTGTTGTGTCTCCTTGACTATATCATGCAGATGAACGAGTGGGGAACCTCATTGTGGTGACAACAGACAATCAAACTCTGATCCGAATCCACTCACAGATAGCTCGGCTAATAACTGTGACATGGTTGGGCCCCACCAGCTTAGGGGCACGAGTGATTACAATGGTACTGAACAGCCCTGCTCATTTCTATGAATGGTAAGAAGGAAGGCAAGTAACCAAATAGTCTGAATTTATATTAGCCATGAGATCATCTCTCTGTATTACCATCTTGGGACTGTTATGATCCATCTATTATAGTAAAGTATCCAAAAATATACTTTAAGTTATACACCATTAGCTTGGTATGAGGGAAGACAAATAAAAAAGCCAATAAAGTCATTCTTCAGATGGAGGTTCTGTCATCTTTAGTGTCCTCATTTAAATAAAAGAAGAGCAAGGATTCTGGAAAACACCTGGTGAACTAGTACAGAAGTGTTAGAATAAGTCATTAGGATTGTCTTCTGGTTCCAGACAATTTAGTTTTCCCAGCTGAGTGGTTTTTAATTCAATTCTCATAATTTTCAGGATTTCTATCCTGAAATTTCTAACTGATGAGTAGAATGAAGCTTGAAGTTTTTGTTTTTTTGTTTTGTTTTGAAGTAGAGGAGACAACATAGTTACCTTGAATGGTGCTTATTAGTACAGCATGGCTCTCTGGCTATTGATGTATTTGGAAGTGGTTCGGTCACCAGGACCAGAGGTTTACTCTTCCGAGCTTTCAGACTCATGCTGGAGCCCATCTTCAAGAAACTTCTTTCTACTGGAATATGTGCTTTGGGCTATTCTGTGAGTCATATTTATGTGGTGCTTTCCTGTTGGTTGATTGGTATGATGATAGCTGGCAGTTGGCTGTTGTTTCTTTGTGCTGCCAATCAACAATCAATAACTAGGGCATACAAAACCTTTGCTAGACCAATACTTGAATACAGCTCATCTGTCTGGAATCCGCACTGTATGCCAGACATTAATACAACTGAGTGAGTCCAGAAGTATTTTATGAGAAGAGTACTACACTCCTCTGCTCGCAACAGAATACCCTATATCACCAGGCTTGAAATTTTGGGCTTGGACAATCTTGAACTACACTGCCTATGGTTGGACTTAAGCGTAATACACAAAATGATGTGCTACAATGTCCTACCAGTCAATGACTACTTCAGCTTCAACCGCAACAATACAAGAGCACAGAACAGATACAAACTCAATGTAAACCGCTCCAAACTTGATTGTAGAAAGTATGACTTCAGCAACAGAGTGGTGCACTACCAGAATGGAATGCACTACAGACTTTGTTGTTACATCCTCAAACCCCCACTCCTTTAACCTCAAACTATCCACTATTGACCTCACCCCATTCCTAAGAGGTCTGTAAGGGGCGTGCATAAGTGCACAATCATGCCTACCGTCCTGGTCCTATTGTCCCCATTTAATCGTACGTATTTCCTGTATTCTAACTCATGTTTATACTTATACCTATTATCTTGTAAGTGATTGACAAATCAAATAAATAAATAAAATAAAATAAATAACAGCCATTAAAATACCAATCAACCAATAGGAAAGCACCACATAAATATGACTCATCGAATAGCACATATTCCAGTAGAAAGAAGTTCCTCGAAGATGGACTCCAGCATGAGTGTGAAACAAGAATAAATATCTGGTCCTGGTGACCCACTGAGATTTGGTTTTGCAGTTATGTCACTATCCAATATTTACCAAGGATATGGAGGATGTACTTCAGCACATTAGGATGGCATCATGTTGGAGAAAACTAATATACCAGATCAACCAGTATCATTTTAGAACTGTTGTTTTTGGCAAGAACATAGTCTTCCCAGCCTTACTACATTAACTAAATGCTGCAATAAGAGATAAAACTTTTGATTTAATTCAGTTCTAAATAGACATGATCAGTTTGCAAACCATGGGTTTTGTTTTTTTTCCGAACTCTAACCTCCTTAGGAAACAAAGTCTTCAGGCACTAGTAAAGAGGATTATGTTGATTAGGGAAAAGTTGAAAGAGAAGTTGCGGATTCTGGGAACACCAGGTTCCTGGGAGCATCTTACAAGGCAGTCAGGAGTCCGTAGCTTTATTGGATTGAATTGTAAGTATTCAAGAAAGAGTTGTTGACAAACTCAGGATAGATCTTCCTAACCACTGACTGACCTCAACTGCTATAAGGCTTCTTTTTTCATTTCTGCATCAGAGTATGTCAAAACTATGGAACTCCTTCATACTAAACTCAATAGTAGTTAGTGGTAAAAGTGTTGCACTTGGGAGACATTTGGGCCATTCCCTATTTCTCAGTCCAAACTATAAATATCTTCCATGGACGTTGAGCTAATCAATGTTGTTCCAACCAAACCCTTGAATTCGGTATTGATCATTGATTCAATCCTTGAATTCAAGGACTGATGATAATTGGAATTTTTGTTTTGAACAATTTGATTGGGGGAAAAAATCAGCTATTGTACATTTGCAACATCCTTTCCAAATTATCACATTGATTTGAAAAGAGATATCATGCAGTTTGATTAGCAAGATTGATCTGATCTGAAAATTCAATCAAATCAGTTTTGACTTATATTTCTAAACTGAAGCTCTGCATCAAAAATTAATACTTATTTATTTTTTTATAAATTTTATTATTTAAAAAAACCCGCTTTTGGAAACAAATAGGGTTCCACATATTTCCATGTGGTTATGGTGTAATTACTCTCTCAGATAATTAGCTCTACAATAGCTGATTGCATCCAGAGGGGGATGGAGCAAGAGAAATACTCCAAAGACCCACTAAGTAAATATATACATTCAGTTTATTCATATTACATTTTGGCTACAAAAATTAGACAATCTTTGGAGGTTTCCATACCTATAGGTTGAACATCTTGTGCCATTCATGGTTTTGCAGCCCAAATCTGGCATGCCTATATTGATCCATGAATGGGCAACCTTTGAATAGCCAGCAATGGATTGAATGCAGAAAGCAAAAGCCACAGAGGGCATATGAATCATGCAAAAGACTGAGTTATGAATGTGGCTGTGGTCTGGATGCTCTCTTCTTTTATTGCTTTAATTGTTATTTTGGAATAAAAATGGAAGCCTTTCTATAAAGTATGTTATACCCACTGCAGATTTTTTATTAGTTTTCTTATGCCCCCCCCCCCCCCCCGAATGTTGGGAATGTCTGGCTGATTTTGGTAGCTGTCTGGAGAGGGCTTAGGATGTGGGCTGAAGAAGTGCGCCCAGATATCAAAATGCCTTCTCCTCCTCCATTAAATAATGGAAGGGATGATTCCTAGATATTCCAAAGGTGCTTTTTTCAAGAGGCAATTGGACTTTCTTGTTTTTCTTTGAAGATGGTTTCACTTCTCCCCCAAGAAGCTTTTTCAGCTCTGATTGCATGTGGGGAATGGAAGGATTTATATTCCTTGGAGATAGCTGGTCATTTGCATTCTTTTAGAGAGTTGTTGAGGACACTTGGAGGATTATCCTAGGGATAAGATTCAGCAGTCCATCTGTATTTAAAAGACAAAGGCCACTCTTTTGAAGACAGCATTTTGGACAGAGAGGAACACTGGTTTGAAAGAGGGGTCAAAGAGGCCATCTATGTCAAAATTGAATAGCCCTCTCTCAAGAGAGGGGGAGGGATACAACATCATCTTTCTTCAGTCTACCACACAATCCTTTCAGCAGTTCTAAGTAGGCTCCACACTCATTTGCACTACTCAGGTAACCCTGAGGGCACAGATAAAACTCCAAATGGCTTCAATGACGCTCTAAAAGATTCAAATGACCAGTTGTCTACAAGTAATATAAATCCTTCCATTTCCCACCATCCAGTCAGACCTGAAGAAGCTTCTTGGATGAGAAGCAAAATGTCTTCAAAAAACCCCGTAAGAAATAGTTGCCTTTTGAAAAAAACACCTTTGGGACAACCATGACTGAATGACTGAGAATCTCCTTAGACAGTTTTCCTAAATGATTGCCAGTCTTCCAGTATAAAATCCACAGCCCTTCATGTGAACCAGCTGCACACATTGTTCCTATTTAAGCTAAAATTTTCTTCTTAGCTGGAGATCCATCAAAGTGAAAAGCATTTCTTTTTCCTTGCCAGCCTCCCAAGTGGAGTTCCTAGAGAAGCATAAACATATCTATCTTCTTGCTAATGGGCAGATCAACATTTGCAGCATTAACTCCAAGAATTTGGGCTACATAGCACAAAGCATCCATGAAGCCATCTTGGTCACCACCCGCCAAAATCCAAGCTATCTCTGCATAACGGCTCACCAAGAATCTGAGAAGAGTTCTGCAGATTTATCAGATTCTCCTTAAATTAAGAGTGTTCTAGTAAAACTGTATTTTAGAAATGCTTGATCTCATCAATGTATGTTTGTTTCTCAAAACTGATCATAATCATGATCTCCAGTTTCTAGATGTTGAGTCTATGTACTCAGTAATCATTAAAATGATCTCTGACATGAATCTTTGTGAGTAGAGTGCTCCTTTGAAAAGACATCAAAATCTACTTCTTCCAGTACATAACTGCTGTTTACTCTTTGTCTGGGAAACTGCTTTCTTCTCAGGCTCATATATTTGGAGTAAATGCTCTCTGACTCTCCTTCTGGTAGGACATAGTTAGTGCTAGACTTTGTCTGACTCTATACTATATCCTGTAAATCAATCTCCTTTCAGTTATAGGTAGTAAACCTACTGAATTAATCACTGCTTAGGACAGATACCTGTTCCCAGAAATACTAATATGTACACAACCTCCAACACAAAGAAGGGCAGAATTTGGAATTGAGTAATCTGGTTGAAGGAAGTTTCCATTGGAATTCAGATTGCCCCATAAGTTTTCTGTCAGATATAGTATGGTATGTGTATATGAGGTAGATAGTGGGTTTAGGTTAGAGCAGCATTCTCCAATACAATTCCCAAAAATATCTGAAATGGGCCTTAGTTTCCAGCTCTGAATATTTAGCTGGCATTTCTTGATCCTTAGTCAGATTTGGAGTTGTGATTGGTTTGTGTTGTGATTGGTTTATATTTTTTTGTTTTGTTTTTAGGACCTATTTGAATCTGGCTGTGATGCGTGCTAGAATGGGTTAACTCAGTGGTTTCTATGGTAACCACACTGCGTTGTCCCTGATGCAGACACCCAGAAGGTTAATCAACAAAAAGGAAACAAACAACGGAGGACTGGAATTCACTAAAGCAGGAAGCATGAGACGTCCAAGGAACCGCTCATTAAAGCAATGGCAATAAATGAAAAGTATTAAAGATTCAACTGAAAAAAGGACAACATATATGTTTTAACAATCAGGCATGGATTAATAGTTTTGGGATAGTTTACTTTTAGTTTTCAAGGAAAAGAGCTGACAAACCTTTATGGAACAAATTAGATATGTTGTTCCAAGGATCATCCTTTCCTAAGCAGAAAGTACATAACATTCTCAAGAGAGTAGAGCAATATGCATATTTTTGCCCACCAAGTAAAGGAAAAATTGTTGGTTACATTTCTCCTTATTTATTTTAAGAGGGGGCAGGGAACCAGTAAACCAAAATGCGAAGAGACTGAGCAAAATACCTTCTTTTACTCCCTCTGCAACCAAATGGGCATCAAAACTTGTCTTCATAAATCTAAAATATTGTCAGTCCTCTGGACAAGAAACACAACTAGATGAATTAATTCTACTTTATTGTAAGGCTACATTAATGGACTCTTGCAAGTCTGAAAGTACAAACTTCCTGCTGCCATTTTTAAACATTTAATCCATTAAGGCAGTCTTCCTAAGTTTCTTCCTTTAATGGTTAAGCCATTGAGGGTTCCTGCCTCTCTTCTCAGACTGTTTTCTAGGCAGCATCTCTTCCCTTCATCCCTCAAGGTCATACACAACTTCTATTACAAGAGGGTTACATATGTGTTTGGTAAGTAACTATTAAATATCATAACTTTTTTTACATTTTGTTTGTTTCAGAGATGCCTTCTTTCATTCTCACTATAAGAAGTAATCTTTCTGGTTGGGCAAATTGTATGAATTCATCCATCATGGCTTATTTGGAAACTAACAATTTGACAAGCCAATACACGGGAACTCTGCCATAAACATTGCAATTAACTTTTTGCTACTGGAGAACTTAAGAATTTCTTGGATGAGAAGTGAAATGTTTTCAAGGAAAAAAACGAGAAAGTCCAGTTGCTTTCTGGATAAGCACCTTTAGGACTACTGGAGACTTGTACAAAAATATCCTATGAGAATGCAGTTGCAAAACACTTCCACAATTTTGTGACAGGTACAAAAATTGAGTGAGACTTGAAGGCACTAGCACCCTATTTTGTACTCTTGGTGGAATGTCATTCCAGTTTTGCTTCCAGATGCCTTTAGAAAAACAGGGCTTTGACACTCTAAGCAAGGTGAAAGCAAGTAAGATAAAAATAATGAACTAAGAACTCCTGGACCTGATTTCCTAATAGGTGCCTCCATAGTTGTCATCAGTTGTGTGTCTGACAATTAATTCCCTTCATGTCAAATCTTCTCTTTTCAGTAACATTTTAAAGAAGTTATTTCGTAACTTTTCCTTTTGACTATTTGTCTCATTTTGTAGATAGGCAGTATCAAAATGACAGCAAATTAGATAAGATGTCTAATTTGCATACTTTATTCATCCTTCATTGAATTGAAAAGCAATTAGACATAATTTGCAATTATGCCTGGAGTTGATTTTAGTACCAAAAATATAGCTTCTTCATAGCTGAACAGCAAAATTATATGGAACACAGATGCTAAAACTTTATTACAATTGCCCTTGATAATATCCAATATGGCAAGTGTGTGCAGATCCTAATGCCAGTAGACAAAAATAAGGAAAAACAGGATTTTGCTTATTGTGGCTCCATTTTCTCCTCCCTCCCTTTATGATCAACATCATGGATGAAAATATCCACCCAGATGTGATTGAAGGTGCAGCCTCTTAAAAATTTCCAAAAATGCAGCCTTTGAAAATGCATAGGTTATTTCAAACATTATTGCAAAGAGCCTGATGCTTGCAGGCTTAAGTATGTATATTCATGATTGTGTTATGATTTTTTAAACAAACAACAATGGGCTGCTTCACTTGCAAAGATAACCATAAACCAACACTAGTGAGAATACAGAATACAGAAGAATAGAAATTGGAAGGGACCTTGGAGATCTTCTAAGCCAACCTCCTGCTCAAGTAGGAAACCAGACAAGTGGCTGTCCAGTCTCTTCTTAAAAGCCTCCAGTGATGGAGCACCCACAACCCCGGAAGGCAAACTGTTCTACTGGTTAATTGTTCTCAGGAAATTTCTCCTTAGTTCTAGTTTGCTTCTCTCTCTGATTAGTTTCCATGCATTTTTGGAAATTAAACAAAGGAGAGAAGCAACTTGGAACTAAGGAGAAACTTCTGAACTGAACTGAAACTTTTATTGAACTGAAACAGAGCAGACTTCATTAAGGTTTTGCATAATGTGTGAAACCTAGATGGACATGAAGCTTCAAGGTATTAACCAAGTAGAAACTTTTAGCCTAGAAGATGATGAACAGACTGAAGGGAACATGTCTATATCCCTAAGCAGAAAAGGAATGGCTGAAGCAGCAGAAGGAATAATGAAGAAACTTTTCTTATACCCCTATGACATCTGTCATCTCAGCTGGTTGCTCATTGTGTAGAGAGAAACTTGTTAAGTCATATGGAACAACTCTTGGCTATGTTGACTCTGGGAGGAATAATAATTTTGCAAATAAATAGACTACACAAATAACAAATAAGTCTGGAAAACATGGCTTCAAGACAGTGGTGGGATTCAAACTTTTTACTAACAGTTCTGTGGGCGTGGCTTGGTGGGCGTGGCAAGGGAAGGATACTGTAAAATCTCCAGTCAGAGGTGGCATTTGCTGGTTCTCCAAACTACTCAAAATGTCCACTACCGGTTCTCCAGAACTGGTCAGAATCTGTAGAATACCACCTCTGCTTCTAGATCACACTGTCTTTTCTCCAGAAAACATTGTAGGAAAGATGAGAACCTTTGTATGGTGTCCTCATAGTGCATTTTGCAGAATCCATCACAGCCCACTGAAAATAAGGATAATTGCACATCTAAGAGGGAACATCCTTTGTATGTCCATTAAGGAATTCATTAATGCCATAACAAATTTGTTACATAATGGCCATTATGTTCACAATGAGATTAATTAAGCAAAGCTACAGCTGGGTCACTGTATTCAAAAATTTATTCTAAATGCAGAAAGCTGCCTATAACCCACCCTATTTTTGGGGTATCTAATTCAGTTTCATCTCTTCAAAATTATAAAAAAGGGTAAAGGCCTAGCCCAACCTTAGTGTCACAATGGACACATCTTCATTTTTTTCTTGATAGCAATATAGAAATGGGTTGGCATATGTGGAAAGCCAATATTCTAATCCTGAAGCATTAGTCTCACTGAGAGATTGGCATTCTCCCCATTCATCTAGTAGGAACAGCAGCAGCAGCTGAATTAATCCAATGCAGACATCTTTCCATTCTGCTGTCCTCCCAAGGGGCATTAGATTGTTTCAGGTGCTATTCACAAATGGATGTTTTCCTTTATATCCCTTAGTGCAGTCTTGATTTACTTAGTCTGATCAGCACTTTTATGGCCCATCTTGGTTGACAGGGAAGTGTTGCTGCCATCAGCCTTCCCTTCCTGGGGCATTCAAATACGAAGGTGTAGGTGCTCCATCTCTGGAAGTTTTCAAGAAGAGATTGAACAGCCACCTGTCCAGAATGGCATCTCCTGTTCAAACAGAGGGTTGGACTTAGAAGTTCTACAAGGTCCCTTCCAATTCTATTACTCTATGTGGATTTTATCTCCCAGAATTGCCCAAGCAGAAGGAGCATAGTTAAGAATTCTGGGAACCAAATTCCATACATCCAGGAACTGTGCAACTTGGAGATGTCCCTGCAAATGCTGTGACAGTGCCAGATCTAGGCAGAGTGGTGCCAGTGTAACATGAAGACTGTGAACAGAACACTGAAATGTCTGCATCAAATAACTAATAGATAAAAGCCAACTTATACCATTATCAATGCTGCATAAATAATACTGAATATTTATCAAACGAATTCAACGGAATGCAGAAAGTCTCTCTTTAGCGTATTCAGAAGAACACTATCCAAATTAGCACCACCAAAAATGCAAATCAAATGTGAATTTGGAAAGCTTGTGACACCCGATGGGATTGCTATTTTTCAAATTAATTTGTATCTAGTTCCTCTTCCCAGATTTTTCAGACCAATTAATCCGAACATGCCTCCAAGTCACATTCCC